GATCTCTCATACGTTACGTAATTTACTTTGATATTTTTCTCTGCATAAAACGTAATCTTTACGTAAAAAAGAAATATTTCTATTATTTTCGCGTATTTTATTATCATTTTCGTAATGTCTCATGGCACACGAGTTTGTTCATTACATTGTGCGGCTATGGGTCAATTTTTTCCCGTGAAACAATCGAATTCGAGTTGAATATCGCAAAAAAAAGGAGGGAAGGCGTCCGGGGCGGAAGATTCGCCAAGATCGATGACGAAGACTTCGTTGAAGATGCAGTCATCTAGGGGCGAGTAAACTACCATCTACCTACACCTATTGTCTTTTAGAAACATCGCCGTATATAAAGTGATTTTAATTATTATATATTGTTCATAGTAAAAACGCTTAGTTCAACCACAACGGGTCGATTCTCCATTTTCCAGAAACACATGAAAGTTTCAGTAAAACGATAACGAACGTTGTGTTGCTGAACAAAGATAATATCATACGATTAGAAAAAAAAAATATATATATATTTATATTCAGATCTTCCCGCAGTGGTGCGAAAGTGTAGACAATTTAGATAAATCAAATTAAACAATTATAATAGTATCTGATTAGAAGCAGTTTGTAGTATAAAAGAAGTCGTTGTCGACCAGTTTTCGTAATTAACATTAAATAATTTAGTTGATATGCTAAGATTGCTCACATACCGCATTCGCATAACGTGACGCTCATTATTCTAATGTAAATTTCCACGGGCTTTGCTGAAAAATCACGAACAAATATTTCTATTACACGACAATCGATCGATTTATCATTGAAAGTGTAGTTTGCAATCTTGGCTGATGTTTAGGCCACACATAGTTATAGATCCGAGTTAAAATAAGTTATCTCGAGCGACCGTAACGAGTATCTTTGTGTATGATAGAAATTTTTTGAGTGTTGTCTGAGTTTCCTAAATAAATTATATTAATTATATAGATATAAAGTAGCTCTTTTCGAAGAGATCGCTGGAGCGGTAAGGCGATTCGCTGCGACGCTTCGCCTACGGCTTCTGCGTAGAATTCATAAAGCAGTAGATTAGATACGTAGATAGAACGAGAGAGTGATTATCTTTTTTGTGTGTCGTGTGTCCGTTTGTCGATTTGACTATATCTTTTCGTATTTTCCTGTGCAATTGTATAAACTCCCCGCTATATACACTTCGCGACTAGTATTTTCAAGTTAGAATCGATATTGTAAAATTTACCGCCCAAATATTGTTATTTCCTGCCGTTTATTTGACCGCTAGCATTAGAACGCTAATTAGAGTTAGCAACGTGACATACTAACGAGTTCGTAGTTTAGATACTTCGATTTGTCATAATGATATTTACATATGTTTACATCTGCCTACGATAAAATACGATTACTGCTGACGTATAGCCACAATTAAGTGTGTGTAGTTTAGGATGTGCCAACGATTCTGCCGCCCGAAAAATATCTATTAATTTGTTTAACGCATCTAATACTGTCTAACAATTCTATCATTGCCGAGAACGGATATGCCAATTAACGGCTTGCTATGATAATTATTTCTAATGCTGATTAACGACATGATTCGACCAATGTGTTGCTTCGTCAAACACGTCTGCGCACTTTACTCTCTAATTGGGAAAAAGAAACACCATTTCTTACTACGAGATTCTGACTAGGAAAGGAACTATCTGCTTCAATATACAGCTGTTTCGATATACATTAACACCGCGCTCTTGCATTTTCAACACAATCGCCGGGATACAAGATGCTTTTAGTGATTTTCATATCCTAAAATCTTTCGTCATACGTCACTGGAAAATACTAATTATTTGCAACAGATACTTTGCATTTCACTGATTCACTGTCAAATACATGCATGCTATCTATCTGCAAAGACTTAAAAAGTTATAAAATAGAATATAAATCTCCAATTTCTTTTATTGCAGCCTTTCAAATAGATGAGCTGTCCTAAAATACACAGAAGCTATTTCGATCAGATTGATTTCGGTTTCGAAGAAGTAATTTTCTAACAGAATTATCTCATGATAGACGTATTGGCACGTCCTTTCGGTCCGCGTATCGAAGTTTGGTTCTTCATCTGGTTGATAACCTTCAACCGGTCTTTCCCCCTCCATCTAAGAAACTCTAAGTTGAGCGAGCGATTCTATGCCAAAATTTGGGACTCAAAGCTGGCTTCGCGCTACTTGGGGTCCCCTGGGTAGATTTCGCGGCACGGAGCCCTTATCTAAAGTCTCGATCGCGTTTACGTCAGTTGGAGATACACTCGAAATAGATGAACTCTTGGCCTAGATCCCTACGCGTCGGTCGTTTCGATGGACGGCCAAACCCAGGCAATAAGGATCTCCACGGAGACTTAATATATATTTAGTATATATATGTATTTATATAGGATGTCCTATAGAGAAGTCGTGCACTTTTATTCGGTTCAAGAATTTTGGAATAATTCAGCTTCATCTATTTTTGCGAAAAAAAAGTCAAAAAGTAAAGAGGCTTTTTTGATCCAATTAAAAATGTCTCTTTACTTTTCGACTTTCCCTCGCAAATGCTTTTATAACGCAATTTAAAATCAAAATTCTGATATAATATTTTAAATTTAAGAGAGAAATATCAGGTATTTTTATATTAAAATAATTATATATTATTTTTACAATATTCGCCGTATTGTAGCTTTTCTAACATTTCTTTCTTTAATCGGTTAATATCTGGCTCAGAAAAAGTACGCGATCTCCGAAACATCCTGTATATACATATCGATTGTACGTATAGGTATATCTGTGTGCTTATGTGTGTTGCTATTTTTGGCCGGATCGAGATACGACCCCAGGAGCTATCGGTGCAGCCGTTGGTTGTCGCGAAATCCGGAAGCCGCACCCGTTTCGACGGCTGGACGTCGACGGTGCGGCCCCTTTCTTTTTATGAAACTTCCGATAAACGTCCGCTGCCAAGGATTTTTGTTTCATCCGTCAATCTGTCCAAACCGAGGCAGCGCACGACACACTTTTACTTTCAGAATATTATTATTAAATTTTTTCCCTTGGTTTCTCATTTATCTTCAATTAATATTCTTTTAATCAAAGTGTGAATTATGCAACTATTTTAACATTCAAGAGATAAATTAATATTAACGTAATCTGAATTCTTATCGCAAATACAAATTTCAGTTACGCATTCTAATTTTTGGCATTTTAATTCAAATGCTCTGACTTTTCTCCAATTCAAATTCTGATTTTTATATGGATTATAATTTTTGTTAGAGATTTCCATGCAATTTTTTTCGATTTAAGTTTACATGAAAGTTTACATGCAACATTATTTTTTATCTTATCTACACAGTTTTTACATTCTCGCCAGACGTGATTCATGTCACCAAATATCGAAAAGATATGGATGCACGTAAATCGTCAGGCTACGGCGGACAGGTCTACAGAGTGTTTCCCCTCTAACTATGGCAGCTCGGAACTTCCGGTCAGAACATGTCGATAGAGACAAGCCACACCATTAAGCGTCGTGATACACCATACAAATCACGTCGATCCACGATTTATGGTCCATTCTCCCTCTCGCAATCGCGTTATCAGCGCCGATGGTTACGCGCTCAAAACGAGGCTTCTCCATGAAAACACGTTGTTGCTACAGTATAAAAGGGCTATTCCCTTTTCCCATGTTAACGAATGCATCAGAAACACGTTTTGATCTTCAACAATATTCTCATATTCCAGATTTCACTCACAGATTACTCACATATATCGCAAATACAATTCGCACAATCGTATAATTTATATGCTGATTGTAAAATCATTTTACTGAATATTCTTCGTTCAGTGTTAATATTAAAAATTTCTTTCCTCTCATTCTACATTCTTTAGCTAAGATTTTATTATTTTTCTTCCCTTCTTCACAATTTTTACTTTATTTTTATAAAATACTTATCAAATATATATTCTTTTCAAAATAAAAAACCTGCTAGCGCTTCTATCCACTTGATAATAATAAAACTATGATTCAAATTAATGTATAATTTTTTACAATTAGAATATTTGTATTCGAGAAGAATGTACATGATGAGATTTTTGTGTTTTGAAAGCTCGAAAAATTTCCAAATAAAAAATTCCAACGATATATATGCACATATTTGCAAATATTTGTGAAACTCCTCGGAAATTACTAACATTCAAAATATTATTTCTAACTGGACAAAACTATTATTATAGAGAATCGTAATTATTTTTAATATTTATTCTAATATCTATGGTTTAGATTTTAGACAAAGTTCGCGACTTTTAACACTTTGAATATTAGTTCGGGATTGCTCAGGGAAACGCTATACTATGCTGGGAAATTAGTCTTCAGCTTTTCACACCATAATCCATCATGATAGATATGAGAATATAAGCTTAATCCGCTTTTATTCCTAGCCATTATTTCCATTGCATCTTATTTGCATTCTAGTTTCTCCACGATCCTCCCAAACAACATACATCACATATCTACCAAATTGAGACAGTATTTTCATTGATACGTAAATTTTTAATATTTCATTTAATTTTTAGTACAAATTTTTGTTCAATGTTCACGTAATGCGTGATGATGATATTCGTTCAGAGATTCCAGCAATATTAGAGATTTTTACATTTGATTAAAATACATACACCACATACATAAATAAATATTATTTTTCTCTCTGTGTAGGAGATAAAATAACAAAGTTATCAATGAAACATATAACATAGATATGATGGAAATCGAGTAAAATTAAAATAGAAACAAACTGTGACGTTAAAAAATAGAAAATAATTTAAAGGATGTAAGAAACAGTTTTTATAAAAATTTCTAATGTTATTTCACGCAGTACGTTAACATAAATCCCATTCATTTTTTTTGTCTGATAACAATCCGCTCGTTACAGATCGTGCTCCCTATTCCTGTTTTTATTTCTCGTCATTCTCAGCTTTCTTCTTGTTCTTTATTAATGTCAGGAGTGCCGGCGGTATACTACCACGGAACAGGAAGTGAGAATGCAAGCCGCGCGTATACGGAGGCGCCGATGCAACATGTCCAACGCAATGCACTCCGGAAGAAATGTATGAAGTCGACATTCACTTTGCTCGAAATACGCACCGAAACATTTCCTTCTCTCTCTCTCTTCGTTTGTCTGTCTATCTTTCACATGCGCACGCACACTTATACACACACACACACACACACACACACACACGCTCGCGTACCCTTTTTCGCCATCATCATTCTTTCTCTCTTTTTCTCTCTTTTTGTCTGAGGGAAAAAAAATCCCTATCTCGCTCGCGATCACTCGGAGTACAATCATTTCTTCTCGAATCGTTCTACCTCGTTTATCGCGTTTCGTATGTTTCTCTGCCTTCGTCTGTTCCGTACGGAAAATGCATATTAATACCGAAGTGCATTTTGATGCACCGAGAGCTACTCCAGGGAGTCTCGCACTGTAGTTTCGACGGCGATCGATACCTTTAGGTTCCATTATTGCCACAGCCAGTCGATGCATCCGAATCGAAACCGTAGTCGTGGCGGTAAACGCCAACGCGGTTTCGAGCATCCTCCCTCAATGGAGAAAGCTGATACCGCCGATACGAGCAAAAGCTTTTTAAGTGCCTAGAGAAAACACCTGTCACAATTTTCGGCGACGTGTGGCGCTTCCGTTACTTCCGACGTGTTTTCTTACACGCGCTTGTCCACTGTACGTAATTTCGCGATAGAAGAACTATCTACACGACTATTTAAGAGCCACTTTTCTATACTTCTTCGAGCGTCGAAGACGAGAGGCAGAAGTTACACGCATACTACGAGGATCGTTGACATCCTCGAACGAAACTCGAAAACAGGAGAGACGATTGACAAAGCAACACACTCGGATAAATTACTCTCTATTCTGTTTTCCTTTCAGTCATTCATCTGGCGCGCCATCACTTCTCTGTTCATTCTATTCTTTTTTTTAATTTTTTTTTTTTCAACATATTAGCTTCCAGACTATTGTCGAGTGATAGTCGATGGAAATGAATAGCGAAATCACATACGCACGTTGCAAATGTGGCGCAGTTGTGACCGAAGTTTTATGTTTCAGTGGATCTAACCAATGGACAGCTCACTCCAAACAACAACACGCCCTTACTTACACAAGCACTTTCTGGTACGTCTTAAAAGTCTTTCTTCTTCACGCTGCGAACGTAATGCGCTTTCTCGACTCGCTTCGTCGCCCTGCGATCGATTTGCCCGCAAACAATTTTGGCTAACAGTGGCTTTTTCATTAACCAGTCACGCGAGTTTGCGAGCAATAAAGATCACGTATGTTTGGAAAGAATGCTTTGCTATCGCATCGAATGACATACCGCGATAAAATGTTAAACGCGGTATTATGTTCGAATTGAGCATCGTTTTTGCCATGTCATTTCAATATCGTTCAGTATTTTCGCAAATTGAATTCCGGTTACACAGAAGGGGAATAATTTTGCGAAAGATTGTTCTTTAATGTTTCCAATTTCGCCATTTAATGTGTTATTTAATAGACAGTTCCCATGAATCAATCTCCATTTACCGAAACAATAACAGAGAAAGATTCCGATTGGCGATCTGTAATTTCAGAAGGCGATTTTCATTCATGAACGCGAATAGCGGAAAGCATGGTTGCTTCGTTGAGCATGATTATTCTGCATGATTGTTCTATGTAGAATCATTTTTGCCTATTATTATCGAATATCGCGAGTTTCGATTGATTAATGAGAAATCAATGGAAATTCGTGAAAAGCCTACAACGCTGATTGCATTCGTTGATTTACAAGATGCGAATAAAGTAAATGAGACTGTATTATGTCACGGAATCACATAATTTTTCAGTTTCGCAACATTTTTCAATTTTAAATTCATTTTCTTCACGCGTCGCCGTGAAGTTATTTCGTACAAAAAAATGTCATTCAATTCTAATGCAGATACCGTCTCGTTACTTTTTTCATTCCCCCATTCTTGCGTGACCCACGTCCCGTTGAATTGCTGAAAAAATCGTAGGTAAGAAAACGAAAGAAAAGAAGAGAGGTAGGCGGCTCCCAAGAGAAGTGTCGCACGCGTGAGGGCGCCAAGATGCCGGCAGCGAAATACGCCTTTGCTCTTTTATTTTATTTTTTTTTCTTTTCCGTCGTTTCCCCATCTAGAATCTGCCCCCGATCTGCCCGCCGTCGCGCCGTCGTGCCGTCCGCAATCTCCTCTCAAATAAATCAAACTTTTGAATCGCGCCTATCCTTCTCCCCGCGCCGCGTTCCCACGCGCTTTCCCCCCTGCGCCGACACAGAACTTTGTAACCGGCCGCCATTGTCAAGAGTTTAAAAGCTGAATGGGTTTTTAGATTGTACGCTCAGGCGTTTTCGGTTTCCCGTGGACCCGCCGCCACCGCGGCCCCTCCTCCCCCCTCCCTCCCCCTTTCCCCACGCCCCCGTCGAGAGAGAGTTTCAAATTCTTCGCGTACCGCCCGCTTACAATCTCCTTCCCTTCGCCGAAACTTCTTCCTCTTCTTCTTACTCCTTGTTCTCGTCGTCTTTTTCCTCTTTTCGCTTTCGCGACCGCCGTTAATCCAAAAGTACGCTCCATATGACATTTATGCGAACTCTCGCGAGAACAACGCGGGCGCGCAATATACGGGATCGTTCAAGTCAGATGCATTAATCTCCGCCGCTTCTTATTGGTTATCTGTCAGAGTTTTTACGAGTGTTAAAGTTCCAGAATGCGAACGACGCGCCGAGAAAAGACAGCTTCCCCGTGCGCGATACAGTTTCGTGAGTAGCGCGGAATAGTTTTGCCCTGATTTCGCCCCTTGTTACTTTTATTCGCGAAGTATTGAGAAACGCGGAGGGCAGTCGTTGGCAGGATTAAGAAAGAAATATTCGAAGAAAGAAAATAGCTTTCACAAACGCAGTAATTGCATTAGTATTTAATCCTATTTATTGTGTATTGTGTAGTATGTGTACGCGACGTGTTAGCGTACTGCAAACAGAAACTTCTAAGACTAACATATATTTTTCTTAAAGACAAATCTTAAAGGAGAAGAAGCATGATATATGAAACGTTAAAAAACCCAAAATATTAGATTACTAAAAAGCACCGGTGTTCATTTGTTTAAAGGGAGAAGTTAGCTTTTGTCTAAATTACTTTTGTTTTTCTGCCAACAACTGAATTTGGTGCAAAGGAGAATAAACCTATTTTCTAAAATTCTTCATGGAAAATCTTAAGATGTTTCAATTGAATTTTAACTGACATGTGAAATAATTTATTATTTAAAGGGTTTTCTTACTTTCAATTCTTATTGTATTTTAATATCAGTTTTATAAGAAAACCTAGTTATTATTCTAAAAATATTGACACGAACTCGATGTTGTATTTATTCTTCATTGTGCCAGACTCTATGATTGTCCGCATTACTGCAATTTTCCTCGCTTCTCTTGTTTGTATTCTCACGGAATCTTTAACTTTGAGAGCCGAACGCGAAATGGGGTAAGTTTAGTTTTCGTCGCTTGGCCTTTCTAATCGAATCAACCGTATCAATTTTTGCCCCATTTGACTTCTTAACTTCACGAGGGGAAATTGATCCTCGTGCATATCGAACATTAGAGCAGTAATCATAGTCGAAAGCCTGTTGTATCTCGTAATTTCTCAAATCCATCGCTATCACTGCCTCGTGCGATTGCGTTGCTTGTCCCAGCGACGTGTTGTACAATGTCATACATATGTATATGTGCAAGGCGCTTTTTTTTTTATTATCTCTATGATCGTACGTAAAGGCTGCCTTGCAATGTGCTTCATGAGTGTCTTCTTTTCTCTTCCTTTCTTTTTTTTTTTTCTTCAATGAAATGCATTGCGCGAAAATTCGTTAAACAAACTCTATCCTTCTCCTTGTATGTAATGTATGTATCGCGATACGTACTCAACGTAATCGTATTTGTAATCGTATTTGTGCGATCGTTAAGCGCGCAAAACACATGCACAGTCCTCGAAGTAAGGTAGCCCAAAGAACTTCGTCGTTCGCTTTCACACAAATGTGAATTCATTACAATAAACATCACATTAGTATACAAATTAAAGAATTTTATCTTTAATGAGATTTAGCTCACTAGAATATATCGTAATGCAAGCGAAATGAGTTTGATACTAGCAAGCGGAAAGAGGCGAAAAAAACTAAAATCTAGAGGCGAACGCCAACCACGAACGGAGCAACCACATGCTTCAAGGTACTTGCATGGAAGATTCCCAAAAGGGATAAGGCATGCAATGCTCGTATCACTATCACGGGCAGAATGAAATAATCAGAATTTTCACCGTTATTTTCCAATGATTGTCTCCAAATGTGTTTAATTGTTGTGAAATATTATGCTCTACAATTACTCGAAAATTGAACGCGGTTTTATGTCATTTGATAAAGTTAAATGAAAGATATGTCTTCTCAATCTAAAATCTTCTCAAATCCTCAACTATCATAATGCAATCAAAGCTAATTTCAACGCCATTCATCCACAATTTACATTGCGTCTTAGCATAGATCATAAAAAGATCCATTTCTCACTAACATAACTCATTAACATGAAACTAGATAAGAAATAGTTAGTCCATTAACAAAGTAACAATCAAATTGAATACAGCGATGATATTGCTCCAAATTGGGAAGCAGTAGTTGAGGATTTCGTGAAATTATTTTTGATTGGTATTGCTTGGGTGAAATCTAATTCGAAAGCAAATCTATGAATATTTCGCGTACTCCGTGAAAGACGAGGGCGAGCTTCGCCGAGGATCGTCCGCGATCACGACGTATGCTCGCTCGATCGGGTTAAGAGAGGATGAACATTGACGCTGGTTCGTTCCAGTGATGAACAACTACCAGGCGGCCGCAGCGCAGGCCGGATTCCCACCGGCGTCGCCGCACGCCGCCGGCGGCCACGGTGGGCCGCAGGGCCGATCTTTCCCGGCGGCCAATTCGCCGGGCCCAATTGACATGTACAGCTCGAGCGCCGCCGCCGCAGCAGCAGCCGCAGCCGCGGATTCCGCAGTCGCAAGCTACGTCCAGGCCGCAGCTAGCCCGCAGCCCCCCACGACCGCGTTCCCCGCGATCGCCGTATCCCGTGCCCCGCTCAACTACAGTCCCGTAAGTCCACTTAATGCTCCCTCTTTGTCACCGGATTGGGCCCTTCCCGACATAGATGGAACGAAAGGAAGAGCGTGGTCTTTTTTATGGTGGTGAATTTGGCATTTCGAAAATCTCGTAGCGTTTTTTTTTTTTTTTTTT